TTCCCTTTCCTTTTCCTCCCCCCCTCCCCCCCCCCCCCCCCCCCCACCATGCCTTTCTTCCTTTCTCTAAGCTCACGAGATCTTTTGCCTCACCATCCCCAGCCCCAAGTCCTGCCCCTCCCGCTGAAGGGTCTCGAAGTACTGGGTGATCATTGTCACAGAGAGCAAAACCCCTGTCCCACTGCCGATCGCCCCGAGGAAGTCCGCGACAAGGGTAAGGACACCGACACAAAGCCCCCCAAAGCCCGCGGCGACGGGGATGTATTTCTCCAGCAGCCGTGCCATGTCCTCTTCGCTCTCGCGGGTTTGGACGAGCCAACGGCCCTGGGCCGCGAGCTGTTTGGCCACGTCCCGTGGCGCAGTGTGAGAGATGTTAATCCACAATCGAGAGAAGATCGCACAGGTCCCAAGCACAAAGACCACATAGAAAATCAGGTGCATCGGGTCGAGCATCAGGTCGAAGAAGCTTGAGGGGGGGGTAAGGTAGTACGCGAGGCCGCCCACCGGGAAGAGCTGCCCGCTGCCCCCGCTGTGGTACCCCCGCGGCTCCCAACGCCCAAGCAGGTTCACCAGCACGTTGCGGTTACCAAAGTGCCGGGAGAGAATCTGCGATAAGAAGTTCAGGTTCGACACGACGCTGGTTTGCAAGATGATCGGCATGTTACTTGTGTAGAAGAGCTTGATGAGGTAGGGCTGGTTGTCCATGCCGTTGTACTTGCTTTTTGTCATGAGTGGGATGCGGAATCCCTGGAAGAAGACGACAACGACGAAAACCACGGCAGTCGCTAGAATGTTCGTGAGGTTTGGCAGCTGCGGGCGGTATAAAGCCTCGCGCAGCGCACGCACCTTATCGGTGCGGGAGACCAACAGGTGAAAAAAGGCAATAATGGCTCCTTCGAACTCTTCCCCGTGTCCGGTATTAATAGTTGAGGGTGAGAAGCTTTTCCAGACGATCGTATCGCAGACGTTTGTGGCGATGAAAAGAGAGGAACCAGAGCCGATACCCCAGCCTTTCTGCATGAGCTCATCCAATAGAATACAAATCAATGTTGAAATCGTGAGTTGCATGACAATCACACTACACATAAAAAGTCCGATCACGCGCGGATCGCCGTACATCCCTGTGGAAACGTACGCTACCGCCTCAATAATTGTGAAAATAATCGCGCAGAGCTTCTGCAGTCCCTGAAAAGCAGCTGCCTGCTTACGATCGTTGTTATTGTAGTTGATCACCCCCATCCCGACGAGTAGTTCGAGAATCAGCGAAGCACTTACGATAGGAGAGATGCCGAGCTCCATCAAAGTTCCTTTATTGCTCGCCAGCACCACCCGCATCCAGTAAAACGGATCCGAGGAGCTTCCCGTTAGCGCGCCGTACACCGGCACCTGACAACAAATTAGAAAAATAAAAAGCACAATTGCTGTCCATAGAATGCGTTCTTTGATGTTTGGCAAACGTGAAGGCTTTGACATCTCGGGAAGGAGAGCTAACACCGGCCGAAAGGAAAACAGCCAGTCACCCTGCTTGCCCATCTTGAAGATATGAAAAGTTCCTTAAAATGATGATCGGGCGGGGCTATGACTTAAATCGTAATAAGGAGAACTAAATGTATAAATATAAATTTATATATTTAATTATTTATGCTTGTGTGTGTGCGTTGATATTTTATGACCACACCTAGCTACTTGAGTTAACCTTTTTTAAACCTAAGATTGTACTTGGCATAAATAGATATAGATTAGTGATAAATTACAAAGTTACTCATTAATAGCAAAATGAAAAGTAAAGATAGACAAGATAGGGTCACAATATCCCTTTTTAATAAGTGATTCTCAATCACATCCAGCCTCGACTTTTTTACTTATGTTCTTTCCCTAAGGACGACAAATGTAGGTGTATGGATAATAATGAACAAATATTTGACAACCTGTATGCCGTCTTCATTTTCTTTTGAAGAAACTGAAATTGTTTCATTGCGCCAATTAAGTTATCTTTCGGGAAGAAATGGATAGAAGATGTCTTTGAGTCTTTAAGGAAAAGACTTTTATCGTCTCCTTTTCCTCGTCAGATGTTCATTTTTTAGTGTTTTCAGCTAAAGTATAATGTGAATATTATTTTCCCTATTTTTAGGTTCTTGACTTACTAATCGCTTAGACAATACACATCTGTCTGAGGGATTGCCATATATATTTTCCATCTTTCCAGTTTATAATCCTTTTTGATTTGATTGAGAGTTTTTTATCGATTTGCTTGCATTGTTGCACTGACGAAGAACGACTTAGTGTTCCGTCTAAAACTTAAAGGGTGTCTGAATAATTTCTACTTAAAGGATTAAGAATTAGCCATACCCTTTTGTTGTTGTTGTATTTTTTAAAATTTTGTCCTCAGCAGAGTCTATTATACAGTAAATACACACACGTGTAATTTCGAAGGCAGGCATAAAAATATCAGTAATCGAATAATGATAATAAACTCATTAAGTTTTTTGATCTGAAAAGTTTAAGAAAAGAGGGAAAAAATTCCGTGTTTAATGATGACTGAGATCATAACCAATAAAATAATTAAGGGGGAAACAACATCTACTCACTTTTTTAAATTTACAGCGAATATTAACAAAACTAGTAATTTTTAATTCATTAGAAAGTCAATTCGGAAAGGTGAAAATTAGCATAATCAACGGTGGCGGTATATCATTGAAATATATGATAAATAAATATATATATATAGAAAGTGATGAGTTGAAAATTCAGAAAGTTAAAAATCGGAAATAATTCTTTATATATAATAGTCACAGCTACACCAAAGATTGTGAAAATAAACACAAAAAGGAAATTTCTCGCACTATCTTTCATAATTACGTATCCGCCTTGAGTCACCACCCTAAACACGTTTTTACCGGTACAATATATTTTTTATTAGCACGAGAAGCATGTTCCAACAGGTTTCTAGTAAAGCGATCAAGCGTTCAGAGCAGAGTTTAAATAAAACGTATTAACTCTAATGTTTTAAATAAAGATAGTACACAAATAATGTGATAAAGATTTAAGAAACTAAAGCATCTTTTCTTATGTTCGGATTAATATAAGGGGAGAATTATTACTTTTATAAGAACGATAATTTCCCCCACTAGTATATATGTCATATAGGGCAGTGAGGGGAAGCATTAGCGCCCAAAGCGAATGAAAAAAATATAAAGAATATTTTCCTATAATAGAAATATTTAAAAAAAAACGATATTTGAAAAAGAAAAAATGCTCTTCAAATAAAGTTATAATCAATATAATGTATGCAGACGGAGAAGTGGGAGTGCGTGTGAGGAGAGCACAATTAAATTATTTCAACTAAGATAAAATAATCTAATGTAGTTTGTTCCAACACTTATTTTATTTTTATTGATACTGTTCTAACAGAAGATGTAGAACCCCGAAATTGGGCTCAGAATGTAAAAAAAAATTCCATTTTTGAAGACATGTAATGTGAACTATTACAAAGATATATATATATAGATATAGATAGATAGATATATAATGCATTCATAAAGGCAAAAATAACGTAAAAATAGGATCACTAAGACTTTAAAAAAAAAAATTACCACTCATTTACACTGTCCCTGAGATTATAAAGCTAATACTTTTAATTTTCTCAAAAATCTGTGGTATATTCAGTGTCAACTTCCATTCCGTGTTGATAAGCTGCAAGAGGGACAATACTGTTTTGTCGTGCCATCTGTACTAAAAACAGTTGTCGAAACCCCGGTTGGCTTCGCATCCACTCTAAACACTGCAAAGCGTCCTCCCTAGATACGAAACGCACAAAGCAGCCACCCAAGAACGGGGGGTGGAGGAATGGTGTAAATGAGCAAAACCCAGCGAAGCGCTCAGCAAAGAAGTCTTCCCGCATCACCATATGTGACATTTCAAAGAATTGATCCCCTGAAAGCCTGTAGTAGTCCTCGCAGTTTGATTCATCAACGTTTCGATGCAATGTGAAAGTATTCCCGCTCGGCGCCTCGCCGGAATCCCGCCGATGGGTCTGTCCCGCATCATTCACCAAAGAATCAACCTCGTTATATGGGACATCTCTTTCTGGAATCGATATCGCGGCTGCACACCATCCCCCTCCGTCCGACATACGCGTGAAGTTGTAGAGAAGCCTTATGAAGACAGTGCTGCAGATAGGCGAATCCCCGGGCAACGCGACACGCTGCCCGTCCACACTGCTCGAGACGCCACGCAACATCGTTCCCGTTATTATCGTCTCGCCTGGGGAGTGGTACGCTTGAGGGTTTCTCGCCCAATCTGCCCTAATAAACAACGAACGGCGCAGGAGGCTGATAAACTCCCTGGGTTGCTCTCTCATACATGAGACGAGGTCAACATACGGCATCAGGCATCCCTCGAACCCCCCTTGTCTCTCATTGACGCCAATACATCGGTGAAGACGGAATTCGTCGGGATGTGCTCCTTGATATGGAGGGGCGTGCAGGTGAGGGAGGGGGCCGGCGTCGGAGTCCCCCCCTCCCCCAACACGTCGTGCAGCATGTTGACCGCGGCGAACCACTGCAGTGCGAAGTGTGCCATTTCGTAACAGCAGTACTCGGCGAACCCCACGTCCCGCTGGTCCGTCACCCGTTTCACCCGCAGGGAGATGAGCCCTGTCGGGGGAACGTACAGCCGCAGCTGGTGCGGGTTTTGCACATAACGGGGTAGTTTGGAAAGAAGAGGTGCGCGCGTGGGGAAGGGAAGGGGGCTGGTGGCGGCGGCGTTGTTGCCGTTGGTGCCACGGGGTGGTAGGGGAAAAGGGAAGGGGGAAGGGGGCACCGGCGCAATCGAGGAGGCAGGGGTGGTGGTGGA